TATTACTATTATTAATAATTATTATCATGCATCAAATCAAACTTTAATAATCTTATTCCAACCGGAAAGGAGAATTTCAAATTAAATATATTTTTCATCATATTTAACTAATTATTTAAAAAAAATTAAATGATAGAGAACCGTAAGACTTTATGGATGAATGTGTCAATATAGAGTACTTTTAGCATCAAAAAGTTACTATGATATGACATGTAAATCCTCTATGACAATTGACATGCATTAATTACTATTACTATATATCCGAAAGACTTAGGTTCTGACTGTTCACATCCCTATTCATATTTTGATTTACTATATATCTAAAAGATATAAGATTCAGATTTTTCGTCCATGTTCATATTTTGATTTACTATATATCTAAAAGATATAGTGTTCGATTGTTTCATGTTCATATTTTGATTTATATATATCTAAATTGTATAATCCAAGCACCGGAAGCTGTTTATAGTCCAACGGTTAAGAAGCTTGCCTTCCAAGTCTATATCCGAGTTGGGCTCCCAGTATAAGCATTTTTATTCCGTTCGCATCTTTTTTTCTCTATTCACTTTTTCCCTTTTTTTTTCTTTCTTTCTTTTGTTTCAACTGCATCTCTCTCTCTCTCTCTCTCTCTTCCTCCCTCTTTTTCGGATACTGTTCATTTTTTCTTTTTCTTTTTTTTTGGTTCTTTTTTTATTTAATTTTTTTTAAAAAAATTCAGGTTACTATATATCTAAAAGACATGGAGTTCTGATTGTGGACATCCCTGTTCATATTTTTATTTATATATATTTAAAATGTACAATTCAATCACCAGGAACCGTTCTCAGTCCAACGGTGAGGATGCTAGTCTTCCATGTCTATACCCGGGTTCGGCTCCCAGCATAAGCATTATTAGTCTGTTCTCATCTTTCTTCTTTTTTTTTTTTTCTCTATTCACTTTTCCCAGCATCTCTCTTTTTTTTTTTTTTTTGTTTCAAGTGCATCTCTCTTTTTTTTTTTTTTTTAGATACTGTTCACTTTTTCATTTTTTTTTTCTTTTTGGTTCTTTTTCTTAGGTTCTTTTTTTATTTAATTTTTTTAAAAAAAATTCAGGTTATTTATTTTAATCTCTTAGGTTTTTTTTTTTTTTAAAAAATTTCAGGTTATTTCATTTTTATCTCTAAATTTTTAAAATAAAAATTTTAATTCTCTATCCGATGCACTAGTCATGCTTTTTTTTCTTTTCTTTTTATCAATTTATATTTTTTTTATTTAATTAGGTGTTAAAATTTTAAAAAATCAATTCAATATTTTTTTACACAAACTAACGATTATATAACGTTGCTAATGCTTTTTTTCCTTTGCTTTTTTTTTTCCATCCATTTATATTCTTTTTTTATTTAATTAGGTGTTTAAATTTTAAAAAATCAATCGTTATTTTTTTTAAATAAACTAACGATTATATAATATATATATGATATTTTTTATACAATATGTTTTTAGATTTTAGAATAAATATAAAAATTGATTTTTTCAATAAAACTTCTCATCAAGTTAATTTTATTCTTATTTTTTATAATGTTATTTATTAATAAATATGACTTATTTTCTTTATGTATGGATTTGAATAAGTTTTTTTAATATTTGTTTTTATTTACTTAATTCTTATATAATCAAATTTTAAAAATTGAATATATGTATTTTATTTTCTTATTTTTTTACATGATCAAATTTTATCGAAATTAGTTTTATAGTTTTTACTGCACTCTATTAACTTCAATATATATTTTACCATTTAATTTTTGAAAATACTTTTCAATTTAATTTATATATTTTCACCTATTGAGTATGGTCATGATGTATCAAAAATAATAACATTAGAACCATTGATTTTTATTAGAAATCAACTATGCATCTACACATACAATACCAACTATTTGCTATTTTTTTTTTAATATCTAAACTGATTTTTTCAAATAAAATAATTGAAATAATATTTTAGAATAACTACTTAAAAATTAAAATACAATTTTGTATACTAATATTATTCATTATTTTGTGAATATATATATATTAAAAAATAATCTTTTCATTAGTAAAAAAGTTTCATTTGTTAATTTTCATATAAGTTTTTATATTAATTGTTGCTTTATTTGTTCGATGCAATATAATGAAAAAAAATGAAGATGTTTTTTTAAAATTTTATATTAAAATCTTTTTATTATGGGTTTTATTAAAGAATAAATGCATAACAAAGAACAAATCATATTTTTTTGACTTCAATATATATAAAATTAGATGAAATTTTATCTTTTGTATTTAATTTAATATATTTTAATTGATCGATAACATAGTATATATTATCAAATTAGAATAAATATGTTTAGTTTGATCCGTTGCATAACATGAGAATCCAAATTATTCATATGTCTAAAATTTTTATTCACTCACTATTCATATGCATAAAATTATTATTCATTTGATAGCAATTTACATAATTTTTATGAGTCATTTTTTTGTGTGTGTTTTTGGACACTAATATGCAAATTTAACACTTTTTTCTATTTTTCATCTCTCATGTTGTAACATTTCTTTTTTCAATCCTTAGTTTTTATTTTTCTTTTATTTTCACACAAGCATGTATGTGTGTGTGTATGTACACATACACACACACTATCTTTTAATATTTTAAAATTAACATATACGTCGGCTTATATTACTCATATCATTTAAATTTCATTCTTTGAATTTATCATTTTTTTTAAATTCTCATCCAATTAATATTTTTTATATAAGATTTTATTTACTGATAAATATAATTTATTTTTCTATATGTTTGAATTTTAGAATAAAATTTTAAAACATGATTTTTTTTTAAAAAAAATAAATTAGTATAGTATATATCATGAATTCTAAGAATTTTTAAATGATAGTTGCACATATATACATACATAATTATTTTATTATAAAAGGTTAAAATTGTATTTCAAATAGTTTATCTTAGTTCACTAGGTATGGTCAAGACATACAAAAAAAACTATTGAATCATTGATTTTATGAAAAATTAACTATAAATCTTCCAACATAATACAAATTATTTTCTATGAATAGTTTTTTAACATCATATAAAAAATTTATTTGTAATAAAATAATTAAAATAATTTTTCAAAGGAACCAACCAATTATTCAAATATAGGTTTTTATGCTAATTTTGTTGATTATTTTGTAAATAAACATATAGAGATCTAATGTATATATTTTTAAAAAATAATCTTCTCACCAATATTAAATAAGAATAAATTTTTATTTTTTCATTAGTTGATTTTTATGCAAGTCTATACATTAATTGTGACATTATTTTTTTGATGTACTCTTATAAAAATATATATAATTTTAAAGTATTTGCTTTTGAATTCTTAATAAATATTTTAGGTTTAATTATTACAAGTTTTTTATTTAAAAATCCTTACATAAAGAAGAATAAATCATTTTTTAAGAAAAAAATTTATGAAAAACACAAAAAACAATGTGTAATAATTAAATAAAAAATAATGAAAAAATTATAAAATTTTTAAATGATTTTGTTTTATCTATCCGTAGCTTTGCACGAGATAATTTTAAAAATTAATATTCTCATTAGCATTAAATAAGAATTTTTTTTATTTTTTATTTTTTTATAAATTTATTTTTTGGAATACAATATTATGAAAATTATATTTTTTAAGTGTTTTTTATTTTTGATTAATATTTTAGTTACAAATTATTATATATTTTTTTAAAAAAATCAATCCATAAAAAAGAATGATTTTTTTTTTTGAAGATTGATTTTTTTTTAAGCAAAAAAAATTATAAAAAAATTTAAAATTTTAAAATTTTGAAATGATTTTTTTTATCGCACCTGCAGCGTAGTGCGAGCAAACGATTAATGGAATTCTATATCACAATCAATCAATATATAACAGTAAAACAGATGCAATTCTAGGTATGTTTTATAGTTAGGACGGGTAGATTGTTTATGTGTTAATATATTTAAATTTTAACTAAAAATATTTTATCATCTATTTAAAAAATTAACACAGATATTGGGTCCCTTCTTTCCAAATGTGCATATGAAAAAAGAGAAAATTACAATATTGATATCAAGTTGAAAATTATGAGAAATTGTTTTAGCTAAACACCTTGAATCACAATTTCTTACTATAGATTTATTATAAATTATTTTTACTTAAATCAATGGGAAGTTCATATCATAAGTTTTAATTTAAGATCCATTTTGAGTATTTTCAGTAAGATGTAAAAGCAAAAAATAAAAATAAAAATACAAGCATAGGAATTAAATTTCAACCTTTATTATTTTTCAATTAAGCTTTAATTTTTTTTTAAATCAAGTTATACAATAGTAATTCTTTAAAAAAATCAAGAGTAATTAATCATTGAAGTTTCATATGCATCAAGAAAATAAAATACATTATAAATATTTTAAAATTTTTATCACTTTTTTTTTGTTTTAATTTTATGATAGAAATTTTTTAAATTTCATTTTCAATCAATAAAAGAGTTAAAAATTGATAGCAATTGGAAAAAAATAAAATACTATAAAATTGAATTAAATATTTTTTTATGAATACAAAATCTATTATAATTATAATTATTATAATAACACAGAAACGAGATTAGAATAATATAGTTAAATTACGGATAGACTGCACATACGAATAATTAGAAGTCCAGAATAGTTGCGGGGGCATGCAATAGTTTGTAGTAAATCAATAAATTATTTTGGTGTATATGAACGGAGCTCAAAAAACGACCGTTTGCCAGCTTGGTTCTACAATTTTCTTTTCTCGACCTTTCTTGCCTTCTACAACTACGTATACGTGTCGTCACAATAATGCACATACCAGAGAAAGTGCAAAATTTAAAAAATATTATTACATAACTGCCACTATTAAAACCCAAAACTATCTGCTTCAGTTTTTTCTTCCATCGTCACTCGAAAGAAGAGACTCTTGCCGATTGCCATGGCAACTTCTGTCCACCAAAACCACAGATTTTATCACCCATCCATTCCTACTTCGCATAGGAATCGAAGCTTGAACTTTTACTGGCGGTTTCCGTCTTCATTTTCCGGGAAATTTAAGGTTTTAACTTTGAAGAAGAAGTACCACAGACGTAGCGGACATGGATTTTGCTCGTCGAGTATCAGTAAAGCGAATAATACTGATAATACGGAGTTTGAGAAGGTTTCTGTTCAAGAAGAGAAAGAGAAGGAGCTGGAACGGCCTCCTTTTGATATCAATCTCGCTGTCGTTCTTGCTGGTTTTGCTTTCGAAGCCTATACTAGCCCTCCTGTAATTAAGGCTTAATTCATCTTTAAATTTCAATTTTTAATTCTCAATTGAATATCAAATGTTCTGAAAAATCACTTGGAAAAAAAAGATACAACAGAATTTGAAATTCCATAGGTATTTGTTTTCCTAATTTTCAGTTATCATTAGCAAGTGAATTGAAGAGAATATTAGGATTAAATTTTATTTTTGCTCTCTTGTTATCCAGGAGAACAAAATCAGAGTAATTTGATGTTTATATGGTGTGTTTGTTTGTTTTTGTCAGGAAAATGTAGGGAAGCGCGAGGTTGATGCAGCTAATTGTAAGACTGTGTATCTCTCAGAGTATGTGATCTTTTTGTTTCCAGTAACATTTAAGGCTTAAATAATCCTTGTTCCCTTTTTTGTCCCAGAGAAGATGCATCTAGCAATTATGTCTAGCAAGGCTTTTTTTTTTTTTGAAATTATGTTAACAGTAAATATTATAAGCTGATTAGCATGTTTACAGGTCGTTCGTACGTGAGATATATGATGGCCAATTGTTTATAAAATTGAAGAAGGGTTTGGATTTCCCGGCCATGGATCCATGGGGAACAAGTGATCCTTATGTGGTTATGGAACTAGATGGTCAGGTTGTCAAAAGCAAGGTCAAATGGGGGTAAGCTGCTGATATTTCCATATCACACACAAACTGAATCCTAAGGTTGAATCTTTACCCTGCTCAAAATCTTCATTAATGCATTCTATAGCTTATGCTATCTTCTTTCTCCTTTGAACTAAGTAATTTTAGTTAAAGCTTGAAATGGTGGTTGAGTGCACCTTTGTTTAAGATTAGATAATAATTAGCTGAAATTAAAACTTGTCGTAGCAGCAAGATTCATGGGGATGTGAGATTCTAGTGGAACTGATAATGAGTGTAATTTTCATTAGCTCTACCGTATATATTTGAAAGGAAACATTTACCTGAATTTCTTTTAATGCTTTTTTTTCTTTTTTTAACTAGAAGTTCTGCTCTGAAGTGTAAAGATGGAAAAATTTCCAAATGGTATATGCCCTATTTTCTGTAGGTTCTGCTGTTTTACTTCATCTTTATGAACCTGGCTTTGTTTGCTTAAACTTCCTAGGAATTTCATTCCAAATCTGATTTTTATTTCTTTCAATGCACTTGTTTAATTTTTTGGCTTCCGGAATTTGTTACTCAGATGAATGGGAGGTTAGTTTTGGCGTTCACAATCCCTATCTGCCATTGTGGTTTGAATTTTCTTCAATCCCTGAAACTACTTGCATGTTGAAAAACTTTGATGCCTTTCTGAATCCAGTAATTACAATCTCCCCTGGAAAGGGAACGCAAATCACTGAGGGAAATGAGAGATTGATTTTAGCCATACAATCTTATTTGCCTTTTTTCTTAAAATATTGGTCAATCCTTGATATTTCACAATGAAATAGCTTTCTATTCCATACTTAATGCAGTTATACCATTTCCATTGGAGAAGGAACACAGAGAAATGTGGTTCTGAGTGGTTCTATGTTTGTTATTATGGTCTGCTAGAGTAATGGCTGTTGTGCATATGGAATTTTGTGAGGATGCTCATGCCAGGATTGCATAATAATGTTATGGATTGGAAAATTTGCCTGAACTTTTTTAAAACTCTGACCCAAAATTAGCTCCTTGGTTTATCCACTTCTGTTGGAAGACAGCTGTCATGTCACTAATACTTGTTTGCTTTCTCAATCACTTTTTTTTATTTTTTTTTCATTTTATTGGAAGGCCCATAGGACTTGAACTACACGATGCAGGTTAGCCCCTAAATCCCTACCAACTCATCCTATGATTTACACCTGAGACCTTCATGTTGAAAATCCTGAATTTTAACCATATGTTGTTCCATAGGATATACTTTCTTGATCATATTACGGGTTCTTTACAAATTTTACAAATTCAAATAGTTGCAATCTAGCAGAAGAAGCAAAAAGTTTGATCTTTAACTATTAACAATCTAAAAACAATTTCATACAAGTAATCATCATTCAATGATGACAGGACAAAGGAGCCAACTTGGAACGAGGACTTCACTATTAACATTAAGCTGCCTCCGACCAAAAATCTTCAGGTAAATTCTTATTATGTCTGAATTTATAAATTTGTTTCTCATTTGGGATTGTGCTGGGGGTTTATTTCAAGTTCCTATTCTCTTTGTGTCATTCTTTCTAGCTGCTGTTTTGACATAAGTACAGATAGCATACTTGTCTAAAAAATTCTAATACTAATTATACTCATAAAGTGAGAATGAGATCCCTTACAAGTTTCTGAATTTCACAACACATCATCTTGAGATTCCTTTTTAAGAGAGGAAAACATGGCAATTGGCGTGGAAGAAGAGGGACAACCCAACATTTAAAGGGATCAAGCTTATGGCTCAAGGACTTGAGCTTTTTAATTGAGATCTCATTTTTTACGTCTTAATGTCTTCTTATCCTTACACTTATTTTTCCGGTCTGATATGAGATAGTTATTATTATTATTTTTAAGTTTATTTTCCTCTTCTGTACTTCCAAGGTAGCACCCATTCTGCTTTTTAATAATTATTTTTTAGTTATTGAAAGAAAATTATCCGTAATAATTCCCATTCATTCTAAATTTCTGACCATTTACTGTCCCTAACGAAAAGTTATTGCTTCTAGTATTAAAATTTGGATTACTAGCACCTCCACATTTTTGTGCAGCAAAATATTAATCTCCATCATCTACACATGAAAACAATTCAAAGAAATCACGCTGGACTGACCTGACTGGATCGTCCTTGTTTAGGATGGTGTTTTTAACTAATTGGTTAGCAGGATGTCTTTGTTTCAGTAGGGTATCCTATTGAGGAACGCGCCTTATGAATTATGATTAATTATCTCCATTAATTAAGTTAGCTGGAATGAGCTGTAGTTTTTTCCTATATCCTATTCCGTATATTTCCTGTATAGTTTTTTCTTAAATTAGGAATATACACATAGCTTTATGTGTGATCTATTTACCATATATAGGTCCTTGTATCTTATATATATATATCATTAGAATATATGAAAGAAAGACAACTCCGCGTATTACCAACTTGGTATCGAGCCTTGTGGTATAATTTTTCAAAACCCTAGTCTGCAGCTACTCCTTTCTTCTTCTTAAAAACCCTAGCCACCGTTGCTCCTTTCTTTCTTAAAACACTAGTCGCACCACGAGTATGTCTACCAAACTTGAGGTTACCATGGGGGCGAAATCCATTCGAAGCTTTAGCTCTAACTATCCAAAAGAGCACTTTCATAGCTTCTCAATCTCGGTTTTGCACCCACTCCTTTCTTCTTCTTAAAAACCCTAGCCATCGTTGCTCCTTTCTTCCTTAAAACACTAGTCGCACCACAAGTATGTTTATCAAACTTGAGGTTACCATAGGGCGTAATTCCATTCCGAAGCTTCAGCTCTAACTATCCAAAAGAGCACTTTTATAGCTTTTCAATCTTGGTTTTGCACCCACTATCATAAGAGAGCACATACGAGTTGATGTTTGCTGGAAAAAACATGGCTATCCGTAATGGTATAAACTCAAGTAAGTCGAGAGAAAAAACAAAAGTTCTACTCGGAATGCTACTGCCATAGATACTACTCCATCTTCTACTTCTCATGTATCTCGGACATCTTCCCAAGAAGATACTTTTGGTTTATCTATTATTTCTTGATATCCTAATACTTGGATTATTGATTCAGGAGCCACCGATCATATTACCGATAACTTTTATATCCTTGATTCTCTAACATCTCCACTAGTTAAGTCTATATAGGTTGCTAATGGGGACCTTATGCCAATCACAAGGGCTGGAAATGTCTCTTTCTTCGACATTTTTTATGTCCTCTCGTTCTACTTGTACCTAAACATTCAAACAACCCTCTTTCCATTAGCAAGATAACAAAGAATCTTAATTGTTTTTTCATTTTTCACTCTACCGGTGTTTTTCAACACATTCTTATGAAGATGACGATTGGCATTGGTAAGGAGATGGATGGTCTATATTATTTGGAGGACTATCCGACAAATTAAAGAGCTTGTCCGAAAAGTTTTGTGCATTTCTCTCTTGACAAATTTACAATATATAGATATTAAGATTACATCAAATCCGTACAACTTAGGACCTAATTATAGCAAAAAATATATACAATCAAATAAAGATTCAAAAGTAGAAATCAAGGAATTTTCTACACATTCCTTAGCATATTCTCCTAATTAATGATAATATGATAATAAGGAAGGAATAATAAATGAGAATGATTCTATTGACATCCCCCTCAAATTGATGCGGTAAGTCTACAAGCATCAATTTGGTACTAAGAAACCGATGTCGTTGACGAGTCATAGTTTTAGTAAAGACATCGGCTATTTGAAAATCGAGTAGCGACATGAGAAAAAGTGATAAGACGACGATCAAAAGCATCCCGAATGTAATAATAATCCACCTTTATGTGCTTGGTGCGCTCATGATAAACTAGATTAGCAAGTGATCTAAATGACACTAGTGTTATTAGCATGAAGGGGAGTAGGATCGGCTTGAGGAAATCCAAGTTCGTAGAGAAGACCACGTAACCGCACAACCTCGGAACAAGTTGCGTACATGGCTCTATATTCAGCCTTCGTGGAGGATTTAGAAACAATTTTGTTTCTTGTACTTTCAAGAAATCAAGGCATCTCCAAAAAAGATGCACCAGCCGATTGTAAATTTTCTCGTATCCGGACATCCAACCCAATCGGCATCACTATATGTAGCTAGGTGATAAGGAGAACATGTAGGAAATAATAATCCACGAGTAGGGGATCCAATTAAGTATCGAATAATGCACTTAACTCGCAAGCAAGATGAAGATGCCGAGGTGATTGCATAAATCGGCTAACTATATGGACAAGTATATGAGATATCGAGCCTTATAATAGTTAGGTAGATAAGACTACCAAGTAGTCGCCTATGGAGAAATGGATCGAGTAGAAGCTCACCTTCATCTTTTTGGTACTTCACATTCACCTCCATTGGTGTATCAACATAAGCAAGCATCCTTTAAACCAGACCTAGTCAATAAGGTCTTGGACATATTTATGTTGATTTAAGAACAACCCATGTGCCCGAGAGTGAACCTCTAACTCCAAGAAATAAGTGAGATGTCCAAGATCTTTCAAATGAAATGTATTATGTAACATATGCTAGAGCTTAGTGATCATACCTTTGTTATCACCAGTAATGATTATATCATCAACATAGACCAAGAGAAGAACAACACCCATGGTCGTCTTATGAAAGAGGAGAGACAAATCATATTGGCTTTGTTTGAAAGAGAAGTTTAGAAGGGTGTCTGCGAAACTTTTCAAACCAAGCTCAAGGGCTTGTTTCAACCCATATACGGATCACCTTAGCTTGCACACTTCATGAGGAGAAGTTACTTGCATACCAACTCGGAAGTTTCAAGTAAATGTCTTCTTTGAGGTCTCCATGCAAGTAGGCATTTTTTACATCCATCTAAAGTAAGGGCCAAGATTTAGAAGATGCAATAGCAAGAATAGTTCTTACCGTGATCATCTTGGCAACCGGAGCAAAGGTTTCATTATAATCGAGCCCATATTCTTTTTTATTTCCAAGAGCAACCAATCGAGCTTTTTGTATCTATCTAAAGAGCCATAAAACTTGAGTTTCACATTATAAACCCACTTACTCCCAATGGGTTTGACATTTGGAGTACAAGAGACAATATCGCAAGTGTGGTTTTCCCGAAGTGCTTGAAGTTGTGCTTCCATTGCTCGCTACAAGCACTCATGTTCCATGGCCTCGTTTATAACAAAAGAGAATAGAAATAGAAGACAAAGTAGTAGACAAAGATACAAGGGATGTAAATTCATACCGATCAAGAGGTTTATGAGTTCTAGAACTTCTTCAAATAGGAGTCGGATCACTAGCAGTCGGTAGAACGAGATCGGATGCCATAGGAAGATCTAGAGGAACCGTAGTGGGACCCGTAGGATAATCGGATGTAGGTGGACAGCGTCTTTGATAAACATGACTAGGCTTAAATCTTGGTATTGGTGCTAGACACTCTAAAAAATATGGCAAAACAGATATAGAAGGAGATTTTAAAATCTTTTGTGCACTAAAGAAAGATTGGTTTTTTTAAAAAAATGACATTCCTAGAGACACGAGTACGATAAACATGAGAATCATAGCAAAGAAAACCTTTTTGGTGTTCAAGCATATCCTAAAAAAGCACACTTGACAAATTGGGCAATGAGTTTAGTTCTTTCATGTGCGGGAAGATGAACAAAACATACGGATCCAAAACGATGAAGATTTGAGTAATTCGATGCATGCCTAAATAAACGAAGATAAGGTGAAGCATTGTCCAAGGTTGGAGAAGGTAACCTATTTATTAAATAAACATCAATAGACAAAGCTTCACACCAAAAATGAGGAGGAACAAAAGAGTCAATTAAAAGAATTTGAACAAAATCAAGAAGGTGATGATTCTTCCTTTCAGCCACACCGTTTTGTTGTGGAGTGAAAGGATAAGAACGTTGTGATAAAATTCTATGACTTT